GAAGCCTTGTGGCAGTCGGATCCAAGTCAGCTGTGTCTTTCTCCCGGTGTGTGGCTCTTCCCATTCAAAGGCAAACAAGGACTGGTTGGTTGGTTGGTCGGAGGCAGAAGAATGCATCCTTGAGATCCAGGCAGGTGAACCAGCTTGTCTGAGCCGGTAAAAGACTCAGGAGAGTGTAGCGATTTGGGACCACTAGGTGGATGGTGACCACTGCATTGTTGACAGCGCAAAGGTCAGCAGTGGGCGGGGCTGTAGTCATTCCCTCCAGACTTTTTGACTGGTAAAAGCGGAGTGTTCCAGGGAGACAGACACTCGATTAGGATCTTGGCACCTCGTAGGCGCTGGATGTGGTCCCGAATTCCCAGGCCTGCTTCCCGTGGTACTGGATAGTGTTTCTAACAGGAGTGGCTTCTGGCCTCAGGTCCACTACAATGGGCATATAGTTTCTGGCCAAACCTGGGCCCCTGATGCCCAGACATCAGGGAATTCTTTTAGCAGTCTGGAGGGATTTATTTGTTCCCTCCCCAAGGAATAGAGATGCCACTCATCTTCCCTGGGCCCGGGCACTGCCATCATCAGAGCCGACTGGCTCCCCAAGGTCAGACTTGCAGGCTTTCTGGGGGCAAAGGTGATTTCTGCCCTCAGTTTTGTCAGTAGGTCTCTACCTAGCAGGGGAATGGGGCATTCTGGTAAGTAGAGAAATTCATGAGTCACCAGATGGCTCCCTAGCTGACACAAATGGGCCTTGCAAAATGAGCAGGCTGCTATGTCCCCTGTGGCCCCAACAATAGTTGCTGTTCGGCCTGTGAGGGGAGCCACAGGTGTGATTACCACGGAGTGTTCAGTTCTGGTATCCACCATAAAAGTCATTGATTGGCCCCTTACTTTCATCGAGACTGTGGGCTCCCGGGGGCCCAGGATCAGGGAGCCCGGTCTTTCCTAGTATGATTCTGCTCTAGGCAGGCCAAAAAGGTTTTGGACAGTTGGCTCAGGCTGGTACCTTTCTGTGCTGGGTCGACTGAACTTCTTGGACCCTTTAGATGTCCCTCTGCAATGGGGGCACTCATTCCTCCAGTGTCCGGTCTCTTTGCAATGGGCGCACTGGTCGTGGCATAGAGGTGGTCTCTTCTTAGTTTCCGCTGCTAGCAGGGCTGCTTTCTGTTTCATTTTTTTACCTGCTTCTTTTGGGCTTCACGGTCTCAGTTCACAAAGACTTTATTTGCTACCTCAAGGAGCTGTGTGGCATTCATACCAGCTGAAGCCTTCCAGCTTTTGGAGCTTTCGTTGGATGTCTGCACAGGATTGAGCCACAAAGGCAGTGTTAATCATCCATTGATTCTCAGCTGTCTCAGGGTCAAACAGGGTCTATGTCTGGAACACTTCACAGTCTTTCACAGAAATTCGTGGGGGTCTCATCTGCTTTTTGGATTATCATTGTAATTTTGGACATACTGGTGGGCTTTTTGGCTCCCACTTGAAGTCCATGTAGAAGGGCATCACTGTAGCGACCCAGGGTTTCTTGTCCTTCTCTGGTATTGAAATCCCAATTAAGTCTCATCTCTGGCATTGCTTCTCATGCTCATCTTTCTACATCTAAGCCCTCTGCGGGGGCTTGCCTTCATAACCATTTTCAGGCTTCTTTCGAGATGCGTCCTTTCCTCAGTGGTGGAGAGAGCCATAAGGAGCTGATAACAGTCGTCCCATGTAGGTTGATTAGTGTGGAAAATGGACTCCAGGAAGTCAATCATAGCGTGTGGTTTATCAGAGTACACTGGGTTATGGTGTTTCCAGTTTAGGAGATCAGTAGTGCTGAAGGGCTGGTAATAGAAGATGAAGTGACCAGGCTGGACTAAGCCATCCTTGTCCACTTGTTGAGGACCTTGATTTTCTCACAGCAGCATCTGATGGGCTGTGGCCAGCTGGTTAGATTGTTTGGCTGAGCAGAGCTGCTTCTCTACTGGCTCAGGGCTGGAGTCTTGCTCATGAGGTGATGTGGGGGGACACGGAGGGAGGTGAACTGTCTGGCAATGGGTCCGGCACTAGCTGTGCCAGGGCTTGGGGAGTCAGGGCAATGTATGGTGGGGACAGTAGTGGGTGTTCCACTGGATCTCCCTGGAATGTAGGGTTTTTTTGCTGCTGCTTTCTTTTTTCTGAGTGGTTGGCCACAAATACCCTACTCTGTCCCTGTACGTTTGTGCAAAATCTTGCCCACAGGTCCAGGGTTTGTGCTATTAGAAGCCAGGAGTGTGTGTATGGAAACTGATCTGGATGTCCTGGAGACCCAGTGACTACCTGGTGCACTACTTAGACGGTGGGCAGCCATCCAATGTCAAAGGATGGTCAATCAAGCTCACATGTTATTAAGCTTCCTGAGGGTCATCTTGACACCGTAATCTCCTAAGAAGCCCTTCTTGAAATTCTTTATCATGCAATCTAAAACGGTTGGCTTAAAGGAACTCCTACCCATGTTGACACATGTAATCTACCTCGCAGTGTTTTGAAGAAAATCTAATCTTTTAGATGTCTGCTCAAGCAGTCAGTCGACAGAATAACCGGTAACCAATAATTTCTTCCTCCCTGTGTATCCTGCCCCGAGTCGGTGGCACAAAGACAAACAAGGGTGGGTGCCCCCTCAAAAGAGGAGACCATTTGGATGGCTGTTTGGCTTCGTCCCCAGGAGGAACTTAGGTGCCTCTTAGCATTGGTGGATCAGTATAAACCCCTGACCCGGATGTCTCGCAGGGAGGGAGTGTCCCCAAGAGGCAGACACGGCCTTGAGCCATATGAGGTGGCCACAGAACTGCAAGCTAGGGCCCAGACTCCATAGCCATGAAGGCCGTGAAGCCACACAATCGAGCCTGAAGCACTGTACGAGCGAATCAGGTCGTACAGTCATTCATTCATTATTTGTCCACCTGGCTGCTCTCCCGAGGGAGATTTAAGACACCTCTTACCACTGGCAGGTGGGTATAAATGCCTGACCCAGACCAGCCTCACATCGAGGGATCAAATCCCCTAGAGACTGGCACCACCTTTCAGCCTTATGAGGTCGTCATGGAACCACAGGTTTTGGACCCTCTCAGGCTCCATAGTCTGAGGACTGTGGAGCTCACTTTTACTTCCTCCAGTCAGCAATCATGCATACACAATCACTCAGTTTATCACAATATGTCCCTTTTCCCAAGTTCCCTTCCCAAGGAGGTGACCAGCCTCCTCTTCTACCCACTGGGGTAGGACCTCCTGACTGGGGACCAGCCCTGGGGCCTTACCTTACCTGTGGCTGTTCCTGGTGAGTCCAGTTGGCGTTTGGCCTTCTGGAGAGTTAGAATGCCAGTCCAAAAGAGAACCTGAAATATCATGAAGTGGTGTGCCTCCTCATTCAACTTCAGGCTCCTCTGCTCTGACCCAACCAAGCCACCCGTCTGGCAGCTCAAGGGGCCAGTGTGGGTGGAACCTCGCTGAGGCCTCCAGAAATGCTGCAGAAACCAGTACTCGAGAAACCAAGCACCACACTTGGAGAGGTGGAGAACTGAGGTTTATTACGGTGGTGGGCCCAGAGAAGTTAACACTCCAAGCTCTGAGCCCCGAACAAAGGGGTTACACAGTGTTTATACATGGACAGGCATGATTAAGCAGGTTTGCAGGGGCTAGGGTGATTGCAAACAGCAGGACAAGGGTGAATGTGATAAGCTCCAGTTACTAGTATTGTGAGTCCCCACTTTCTGAGACCTACTTGATCTAGACTTTGCAAGAAGCAAGCTGAGTTACACAGGCAGAAAGAGGAGGTAAAATTTTAACTTTTCCTCTTCAGTTTCTCTCCTGTATGAACTGCCCAATGGTCAGTTAAGGCTGAACATGAAATAGAAGCTTTGCCACATTCATTTCATTTGTATGCTTTCTATACAGTATGAATACCCTGATGAATTATAAGGCCTGAACTCTAACTAAAGGCTTTGCCACACTCATTACATTTGCACTGTTTCTCACAGTTTTCTCCACTATGAATTATCTGATGCTTCCTATGATGGTCATTTCAAGTACCAGCCATACATCACATTTCTATGCTTTCTCTCCTGGAAGAACTGCCTGATGGCGAGTTAAGGCTGACTGTGCACTAAAACCTTTGTCACAACTCTTACACTTGTAAGGTTTTGATAACTTATTGTGACTAGTGTGGGATTCGTGATCTCCGAAGATTTAGCTTTGGGACCAGGGGCCAGGCTTGATCATTCAAGAGCCTTTGTGTAGCAGAGTTTTTAAAGTGAAAAAGGGACAGAGAAAACTTCTGACATAGACATCAGAAGGGGGATGGAGAGTGCCCCCCTGTGAGTTTTAGCAAGCTGTTTTATGTTGGTTAGAAAGTTATTCATCAGCGACACCTCAAGGCTGAAGGAGTTTCAGCAGGACCCTTTCCCACAATATGCATTTTTGAGATAGGATGGCAAGAGGTGTGTCATCCCCCAGCCATAAAACAGCTGATACAAATACTGTTTTGTTGAGCTATCATCAGCCCATGGTTTGATGACAGTCAAATTTGATGACAGTCTTAGGAGGGATCATTTTGAAGAAAGGCCAATTCCAAAGCAAATACATAGTTTCATTAACATAGCTTAAGAAAAACATTTCCGTAAGAAAAATGCTTGAGGTTTAGCTCGAGATTAGAGAAAAATTAAGTTCAGGTGGAACTAGGTGTCATTATGGCAACACAGAATTTTAAGAGAGACTTGCAGCCTATTTCCTCTGTTTGGAGACCCCTGTCCTTCCTGCATGTTACCCTCTCAGTTTCTCTCCAGAATGAGTTCTTCGATGAACTGCAAAGGATGAAGTTTGTCTAAAGGTCTTTCCACACACAACACACTTATATGGTTTCTCTCCAGTATGAATTCTCCGATGAACTGCAAGGCTTGCATTGAAACTAAAGGCCTTGCCACATATTTCACATTTATATGGTTTCTCTCCAGAATGAGTTTTCTGATGAGATATAAGGCTTCCATTTACACTAAAGGCCTTACCACATACATTACATTTATATGGTTTCTCTCCAGAATGAATTTTCCGATGATATGTAAGGCTTCCATTTACCTTAAAGGCCTTACCACATATGTCACATTTATACGGTTTCTCTCCAGTATGAATATTCCGATGAGATTTAAGTCTTCCATTTACACTAAAGGCCTTACCACATACATCACATTTATATGGTTTCTCGCTGGTATGAATTTTCCGATGATATGTAAGGCTTCCATTTACACTAAAGGCCTTACCACATACATCACATTTATATGGTTTCTCGCCGGTATGAATTTTCCGATGACATGTAAGGCTTCCATTTACACTAAAGGCCTTGCCACATATATCACACTTATATGGTTTCTCTCTGGTATGAACTTTCCGATGAGATGTAAGGCTTCCACTTACAATAAAGGCCTTGCCACATATGTCACATTTATATGGTTTCTCTCCAGTATGAACCCTCTGATGAATTGCAAGATGTGTGCTTCGAGTATAACCACGGCCACATACTTCACACTTACATGGTTTCTCTCCAGTATGAAGGATCTGATGAAGTACATGGCTTTCTTTGCGAGTAAAGGCCTTTCCACACATATCACATTTATATGGTTTCTCTCCAGTATGAGTTCTCTGATGAACTGCAAAGTTACCCCTGGAACTGAATATTTTGCCACATAAATTACATTTACATGCTTTCTCACCTGTATGAACTGCCTGATGTATATTTAAGGATGACAGTGTAAAAAAACGTTTGTCACAGCTACTACATTTGTAAGGTTTCTCTTCAGTATGAATTCTCCGATGAGTTCCAAGATGTCTCTTTCCAGTAAAGCCACGGCCACATACATCACATTTATAAGAATTCTCTCCAGTATGAATTCTCTGATGAATTTCAAGTTTTGACTTTCGAGTATAGCCACGGCCACATACATCACATTTATATGGTTTCTCTCCAGTATGAAGGGTCTGATGAAGTGCATGGCTTTTTTTGTAAGTAAAGGCCTTTCCACACATATCACATTTATATGGTTTCTCTCCAGTATGAAGCATTTGATGAAGTGCACGGCTTTCTCTGCGAGTAAAGGCCTTTCCACACACATCACATGTATATGGCTTCTCTCCAGTATGATTTGTTCGATGAACTGCAAGGCTCACATTAAGGGCCTTGCCACACACGTCACCTTTATATGGTTTTCTTCCTGTATGGATTCGTTGATGTCTAGTGAATTCTGAGTTCTGAAGAAATGTTATATCACACTCATCACATTTGTAAGATTTTTTCTTCTGTGATTCCTGGTCTGGTCCCAGTTCTGACGGACGCATAACAGCACTCTCATGTTTATGAGAAATGCCTTTACAGACACGACGAGTTCTCTGAGGTGGCAAACCTGAGGCACTACTGTTGATATTCGTCACAATTTGACTACATTCAAAAACTGTCCCTTCAGACTGAAGCATCTGCAATTCATCATGAAAGCCTGATCTGTGCATTTCAACAGGCTTATCTCCTGCATCATTTCTACTCTGATGATCTCTTCCACCAGTGAGATTTCTGTTATGGGATATAGACATTCCTTTGTCATTTCTATCTGTCCACAGACTCTTAAAACCATGCACAATTTCCTGTATCTTCCTGAGGAAAAAATCTTTGGTTTCATAGGTTTCAGTTCTTCCAAACATCACTCTTTGCAAAATTTCTCCTTTTCCACTGTTTTCTTTTGCTTGTAATTTCTTGGTCATATGTATACAAGACAAACCTACAAGATATAAAGAACCATAGGTATCCTATTAATTACAGTTCATAAATAAATTCTTTCATGTTGAGCACATATTATACCAAAAGTCATACCCATCCTGAACAGAATTATGAATCTTCCCAATGATGACCTTAAAAATATAAGGAACACTAAAGGAATAGAATTCTTAAAAAAAAAAAAACAAACAAACCAGCAATCACATAGAATTCAAATTAACTTTAGGGTAGCCAAGTTTCAAAGACACAATCAGGAAAACATTCACTTTATGCAAACTCATGCCAGGCTTCAAAGACAAAGGTATTTTCCCACCATGACCTCAAAGCTCATTCTACTTGGTAGTAAATACACTTCTGTCTCATAATTGAGGAGAAAAACAGTAAAAATCCATAGACAGGGAGATTGGAGGGCTACAGTCCATGAGATCACAAAGAGTCAGACAGGACTGAGGGACTGAGTTAAGCAAGGATCAGAGAGGAAATACAGTGTAATGGTAAATAATCCAAAAGAACTATTCTAATGAATATTGTAAAACATAAATGGCAGCTGACAACTGTTCAACAAATATTGCATGGTGAAAATAAAGAATTTGTTAAAATGGTCCCCTTGCCCCTCCACATCATGGGGCTTATGAGATCTTAGTTCCCCGACCATGGATTAAACCCAAAATCACCGCAGTGAAAGTGGTGAATCCTATCCACTGGACTGTCAGGGAATTCCCTAAAATAAAAAAAAAAAAAAAAAAAGAACAGTTTTCTAAATACGTCCGATTAACCTATCAGTAGATAGACATACAGGCATTTTATAACAAGAAGCGTTTCATGTCAGTTATACTGTGTAAAACATAAAGACCGTCATCTTTAAATAACAAAGAATTAATAAATGAAACATTCTCTGATTAAATAACGACCATACAATATTGCAATTGCCATTCTATACAGTAACCTTAATTTACTCAGTTCATTGGCTCCAAGATACATGTAAAGGACCAAGTTTTGGGGACTCCCTGTGGCTTAGAGGTGAAGAATCTACCTGCTGATGCAGGGCGCACACCTGATCCAGGAAGTTCCCACATGCCTCGCAGTAACTAAGCCTGTGGGCCCCAACTGAAGATCCTGTACTCTCAAGTTCGGGATTCACAACTATTGAACACACGTACAGAGCCCACATACCACAAAAAGAGAAAGCACTGGCATGAGGGGCCTGCGCATGCAACTAGAGAGTAGCCCTTACAACTTATGCCGAAGTTGAAATTCCAATACTTTGGCAACCTGATGCAAACAACCAACTCATTGGAAAAGACCCTGATGCTGGGAAAGATTGAAGCCCAGGAGGAGAAGGGGATGACAGAGGTTCAGTTGGTAAAGAATCCTCCTGCAATCTGGAAGTCTGGGTCCAATCCCTGGGTTGGCAAGATCTCCTGGAGAAGGGAAAGGCTACCCACTTCAGTATTCTGGCCTGGAGAATTCCATAGACTCTATAGTCCATGAGGTCGCAAGGAGTCCAACACAACTGTGCAACTTTCCCTTTCATTTTATGCACCTCATGGTAGGAGAGAGAAGGATCCAGCCTCTCATCCAGCAAAGCAGATTTTTATCCTTTCTCAACGGGTGAGAATCACAAACATTCAGTAACTTCTAAAGGTACAGCCCTCTTTAATTTAAGGTTCCAATTCTCACACCATCCAGTGAAGGCATTCCATGTATTAGCTAACTAGTAGAAAGGCGAATCTTCACATTAGGGAATAAAAACTTCATCAACTTTAACCTCTTTCTTCTTACAGAGTGGCATTTTGTCTCACAAATACTGCTCACAGGGCCAATTAAAGTTTTGCAAAAGTTGTCACTTTCGTCTCAGGTTCAAAGATTTGTTAACAAAATAAGCCACTCATTCTGTAGAAATAAATAACACAAATTCTTATTATAGAATTAGCTAGCTAACTTTCAATATGCTATCAATAAAAGCAAAGAGAAGTAGAAACAGCAGAAGATACATCACCAAATTGGGTTCTGACCAACATCCAGACTCATATAGTGCTGGGAAGTCCCGGGACACAGCCCATCTGGAGACCCAGTGGGGAAAAGGTCCCAGGCACCGTGTTACATTCATGCGTGAGACTTCAAAGATTGCAGTTCTGGGTTCCCATTTATAATCTCAGGGCACTAACTGATATCATCAGGAACCTGTGAGCAAATAGCAGCTCTGGTTGCATGTTAATGCTATTTGTTTGTCTTACAAAACTTATAATGTGGCTAAGCCTGCGGCTGAGTAGGCCAGGCCCCCCAAGGGCTCAACAATCTCAATATTTGTCCCCTATCTTATGTCTGGGGCTGCAAGCTTTGCACTCACAGCAGGCAGTCAGGGCAGTGTCCAGGCAGGTTAGAAGCAAGCTCAGAGGCCTGCTTTAGGGAGGACCTAGACCCTGTGCCTCTTGCATTGCCAGGTGTAGAATCCCACCTCTTTTGTCAGCCAAGAAGTGATGGACATTTTGGACGGACAGAAAAATATTCACAAATCAATTTACTATCTGCTTCCTTCTTTTTTTTTTTATCTGCTTCCTTCTGAATGTACAGGAAACAGTATAATATACAGTATGATATGCAGATACCTGGGCTTCCCCAGTGGCTCAAAGGTAAATTATCCACCTGCCATGCAGGAGAAGTGGGTTCTATTCCTGTGTGGGGAAGATTCCCCTGGAAGAGGGCATGGCAACTCACTCCAGCATTCTTGCCAGAAGAATCCCATGGACAGAGGAGCCTGGAGGGCTACGGTCACTGGGTCGCAAAGAGTCACGCACGACTGTACTAACTGAGCACACAGGCATGAGTGTATCTAGTGCCTTTCCAAGAACTACTGAACCAAGAATACAGGGGTTGAAAATAGGGAATTGGATATTTCAAAGTTCGAAATCAGCTTTATAAATACTCAAGCTGTGGAAAAAGTTGTGTATCACACAGTGCTCAGATCACCTGAAGAAAGGACGAGCTTAAACTCCTGATGCCAATCATGAAATTTTTTGAAGTCTGAATCAACAAGGCTATGAACTTGGCCAAGCAAAACAGGGGCTCCCAAGAGACACAGAGGGAAAATGCAGCGATATCCCAAACCAGATTCCAACTTCACAGGGAAGTGATCCTCACCCACAGACAGCAGTTTCCTGTAGGTCTCCTCCATCACGTCCTGGTACAAGGCCCTCTGAGCAGGGTCGAGGCATTCCCACTCCTCTGGAGTGAACTTGATGTCCACATCCTCGATGGTCAACTGTGTCTGAAATGAAAGCACATTTCACTAACAGGCACTGAGGAGGATTCTTATTTTCGCACAAAATGAGAAGAGGTGAGAGGGGTAAGGATCAGTTCTGGTAATGTAATATTCTGATAGATCCATTAAAAGCTATTTGGAACAAACTGTGGGTCTCTAATTTCCAAGTTGTTTCATAAGACTATGACATCTTCCAATCAATATGAATTTGTCAGTTGTGTGGACAATACATGAAGAATATACAAATAAATTCAATCAGTGAGTTGCCGAAGTGTTACACTCTACACACTAAGTGACATTCACTATCTAGATGAGTTACAGCAAGACTGATGTCTTCAGAGATGACAAAGTCCACAGCAGCTTTAAAAGAACACACACTGTGATGATTATGACATCATCACACTGATGACAGGTGTTTCAGCACTTCGTACACACTAAGCAGTACTCTAAAGACTTTACATGGATGAACTTATCATCAACATAACAGCACATCAGAGAAAGATATGTGTCCATCTTACTTGGGAGAAAACTTTGTCATTCTAAGGAATTGCTCAGATCAAACAGTTAAGAAATGAGGCAACAGCACCTGAGGTCAGGTGGTTGGGACTGATAACTCAACCTAA